TGTCTTTTCAGTTTATCAGAACTGAACATGTATCACTACTTTCTTTTAGAAGATGATCTAATGCAAACATGGCCAGTGGATGCTCAAATTTATCTTGAAGACATGTCCTGGAATAAGGGTATGAATGTTTCACCTTTTTTATATGGGGAGAGGAGGGATGGGATAGCTAACAGACTTGGCTAGAGTCATCCTGGCTGCTTCCTCAGGGCAGTTCTACACTACCGCTTAAGTCTATCTAACTTACATAGCTCAGGGGTTGAAAAAGCCTCCCCCCATACCGCCCCGCAATGCAAGTTTCAAGGTAAGTCCATACCGGGGCTACGTCAGCAGGAGACGCTCTCCTGCCGACATAGCTTATAGTTTTTGCCAAGGTGGAGTAATTATGCTGACAGGAGAGCACTCTCCCATCAGCATAGCGCGTCTTCACCAGATGTGCTACAGCGGCGCAGCTGCATTGGTGCACCTGCACCAATGTAACACTGTAGTGTAGACTTGCCCTCAATCTTTGAGCCTCTTTGAGCTTTTTAATGTGCCTTGACTGTGATGACTGGAAATGTTTGCTAAGTTTTCTATATCTCATTTGACATGTTATTGTTCTGATTTATCTAAACTTCTGTATGTGGCTTGTCTTTCCCTTTGAAATTTACTTCCTCCCCCTTCTTTTTTTTTTGTTTGTTTGTTTTCTTTGCTTGTATTTTGACTTTATTTAATTTTTGCTGCTCTATTCTTCATTGCCCAATATTTTCCTTTTTCTCATCAGTCTCATCCTCTCATATCTTTATAAGTTATGCAAATGCCCTTCCTCAGTGCTGCTAGGTATAGATTTGAAATTGCCACTTGGCTTTCCATAGTAGTCAATAGTTTTGCTCTCCTTTTGCTGTTTTCAGTGGTAGAGAAAACCCTTCCTCAGAGAAGCAAGTGGGTTTGAATCCTTTGCTGTTCTCACACACAAGATTTCCATTTTGTCAGTGTTTCACCTCTCTACTTCATTATAATTTGGGGGGTTTTATCATTTGACATTTTATTTTTAAAAATCGTGGAAACTGTGTAACTTGCCCTCTCCTTTATGCTTCCCCTCTCTTCTCCAACCTAACTTCGGAACTGTTTTTGAATCTTCATAACCTGCATTACTGAGGCCAATTATTAATCACAGAAAATTGTATTTACAACCTATCTGTTTTCACATAAGTGATTTCCAGACTTCTCCAAGATTCTTGGCATTCTCTCAGAATCCAGTCCTCCTTGCTCAGAGTTCACCACTGGTTCTCTGCAGATTCCTAGCACTACTTCATTGGTGGGGGTACACTTTTAAAAATTGAATTATTATTGTTTGTTTTTATTAATGAAAAGATTCCTCTCCTGCTGGGCACAGGGAGCGCCTCATAGTCAATGAAACACTAGCCTTTTATGTTACAGATATAGCTATCTGAGAGTTAAATACTGTTGCAGGAACTGTTGTATTCAGGCTCTATCTTTCTTAATAGTTATAAGAGGTCCTTCACAAACTCTGCAAACTTATAACTTCCATCATCAGTTCAACAGTAAAATTACATATTTCAGTCTTAAAAAGGAGCTTTGCAATGATGGCTTCAAACAATTTGTTTGTTCTCAAGCACTAAGTTTTTTTTTAAATTGTTTGTTTCAACAGATGAAGAATGTTATACACGCTTATGCCGATGTGGTGGGAAGTATACTGTCTCCAGAAATGAAGCTGAAGAGGTTTCCTTGGTTTGCTGTGACACATGTTCATTAATTATAGAGATCCTTCGATGAAATAACAGTTGTCCCACTTGCATGTGTTGGTTTCATCCAGCTGAATAGTCAGTGGACAGAATCGGTTAGTAAATGTTTCAGGGGAAAGGTGTGCATTGCAAGTGCTAGCAGACTGTCAGGGCTGAAAAGAAGGGCTTAAATCTATTTTCAAGTTTTAACCAGAAGACCTTAAACAAAAGAGCTGTAAGTGCTTCAGTTAATCAAATTAGACCCATTTCTGTACTTAATAGAATTTGAACTGTCCTGTGAAAATGGTGCTTGTTCTGCTTGTTTTCACTGATTTGAAAACTGTCCTTTTCCTGCCCTAAAAATGAGTGCTTTCATAATTTTTAATTAATTTATTTACATTCCGTTTGTTTGGTCTAGATGCCACTCGTTTCTCCCTAAGATTATAGCAGTTATAGCTGGGGGACTACCTTCAGAGTAGCTAAATCTCACATTACCATCAAAGATGACAAAAGTTACCTTATAAACACTTAACATGAGAAGTATTTTTCTGAAAACAAAACTGTTACTGGAATTGGAAGAGAATGAAGATCAGCCTAATATGTTAAAAGGAAGGAAGGTAAAATTTCTAGGAAGCAGCTGCTGTACAAAACAATGGTCCTGTGCCTTTTTAAAAAATGGTCAAAGCTTTTTAAGCAATCTTACAATATGCATATGCAGCTGAATTGAGGGGCTTATGTGCACAAAGTTGTTACCTCTTTCCTACATGTCACGTGTTAGTAGACTTCAGTAGTTAAGATCAGAGCCATGTAATAGTTTAATGACGTCTCCCATATATTAAGGACTGCATTTCTGCAAATGTGCTGTTTGAAGTGTTGCTAATACAGAGTGGTTCTGCCACCTCAAGAATTTGCATGGTGACTTGTGTCCAAGAAACAGCTTTGCAATCATAGTTTTGTCTGTGTCATTTGGACTTTTAATTTAACTACATTGGTAATATTTTATGAATGGAAGCTTGAGCGTAAGTCCACAATAGGATTTAGGCACAAAGTCAAAAATTTAGATCCTCAAAGCCCCTGCTCAGCTGCTGCCTAACCCTGCATGTGGCTAAAATCTCTAGGTGCCTAAGTTGCTGGTGGTGAAATCCCCAACATGCCTAGATTTCTGTGAGTGGACAAGTACAAAGCCACCTAAGTCCTGACACTGCTGAGCTGCTCAGGGTCTGATTTGGTAGGTGTTCTCAGAGTCTGCCTAAGAGCATGCCTACTGGATTGGACCCCACATAAAACAGGGTGGGTATAGCAGTAGCCCAGTAGTTGAACACTCACCTGGGATGTGAGTGACCTAGGTTCAAGGCCCCACTGTGCTTGATCTGGAGCAAGGACTTGAACCCAGGTCTATCCCATCCTAGATGAATATCCCAATCACCAGGTTATAGGGTATTGTGAGTGCGTCTCTCCTGTTGATGTTGTTCTACTTAAATAGTCATTGGTACAGGGACTGGAACCTGCGTCCCACAGATGAATATCCTAACCACTGAGCTATAGAGTCACTCTCTCTGGCCCAATTAATAATGGCCATCGTCACTACCTAATTTTTTTTATGAGAAAGGGCTGACCTTGCTTAAACTCTCCCTAGAGTTAGACACGTATGGCTGTGAATCCCTAGTGAAGATGGGTGCCCAGCTGCCCTTGAGGGGCAGGGCAACTCATGCTGTATATGTTCTGTGGAATGTTACTGAAAAATGACTGGAGTGGCAAAAGAAAGTTAACCTGTCAGCACTATGGCTACTGCCACACCAGCATGGGGTGCCTGAGGACATAAAAAGCGACAAAGAGTCCTGTGGCACCTTATAGACTAACAGACGTATTGGAGCATAAACTTTCGTGGGTGAATACTCACTTCGTCAGACTTTTACAGATCCAGACTAACACGGCTTCCCTCTGATGAGGACATAAAGTATCTAATAGAGAAACTGTACCATGGTACATTTAGCTGCGTGAGGGTCAATGGCTGTATTAGGGACTGATTTTCAATAGAATTGGCGTATAACAGGGATGTGTTCTCTCACCTGCATTATTATTTAATGTTCTAATAGACTATCTGATTGAGGACAATATAGGAGGTGTGAAACTTAGATTCATTTTTTGAGGATCTCAAGTGTATGGATGATATTGCCTTACCTGGTATTGACCAACTACAGCTAATGTTGGAAGAACTGCAAAAAATTGCAGAATCTATGGGACTTCAGATTAATGGTTATAAAGCCAAAGCCATGCATGCCTCCTGTAAAATGGAAACAAATGACCTGCCAGTGCTGCAAGTAGATGTTAATGACACTGAATAGGTGAATAGTTTTATCCATTTGGGTAGTCAGTTGACAGCAGGAGGTGCTGTATCCAGAGAAGTCATATGTTAGATTGGTTTTGCATTAATGGCATTTCACCATCTTCAGAGCCCTCTATTTGGGCAGCAGGATATGTGTGTTACAGTTAAGAATTCAATGCAGTAGTGATAACTCTGTTATCTGTATGGAGGAGAAACATGGCCATTAAAAACAACTGAGAAGAGAATACTAGATAGTTTTTAGTGTCAAAAGTTATAGCATATTCTTAAAATCCATTAGTTTGACTTTTGCCACAGACTAGATGATCCTGGCAAGTTGCAACAGTTGAGAACAAGTTGACCGAAATGGTGGGGTCGTGTCCAGTGTGAAAAAGGAGGTACACTTTTACAGAAGGTTAATAGAGCTGAGGTTGAAGAAAGCAGAGCATGAAGCCAGCCATGAATGAAGTTGGAAGATACTATTTTGAGGGATTTAAGAAGCCTAAATCTTCCCATCCTGACTCTTGCTGAAGGAAGAAAACTTGCAAGGGACCATTCAAGATGGAAGTCCATTCTACGTGCCACCACAGCTACATCAGAACCATGTGAATCTGCTGCTGCTTCTGCCCCACCACTCTCCTTAGTATTTTGTTCTGCTTAGCTTGGGTAGCCCCCTTACTCAGCTTGCTGCCTTCTGTTAATACCATTCTTAGGTGCTTAGCTCTCCCCATCCATTGCAGAGGGAGACTGGGTGCCTAAAATTAGGCATTGTGAAGCTGAGCCAAAATCCCCTGTAAGGGTCTAGCCCTTAGATTATAAGATACTTTCTGTGTGAACTCACCATGAATGGTTAAAGAAAGCTGAATAACTTATTCTGTAATTACAACAGCATTTAATTTCCATAACTGACTTCAGCATATGTTTTATTCTAGATGCTAATAAAGTGAAACTTTAGCTCAAAAAGTCACAATGTTTAATTTATTGTAAATACAAATACACTGTTTCATTCAATCAGTAAAAAAAGCTATTAAAGCATTGTAAGACAGTTCAGTAAACTGGCAGAATTCACTTATTAGTTCTCTTAATCATCCAAAAATCTGTGACCGTTGGGGCTAGCACGCAGAAATCCAAAATCATTCAGAGGCCATATCTGTAAAATGAAATACGGTAAAAGTTAGTCGATTTAAAACTCTAATTTCAATCCTGTACACACCCATTTATCCAAATGGCCTGAGGGACATCAGAAAGTTTCTGATAACTGACCGGATAAACAGAGTGCTATTTTGTGCTTCAGTTTCACTGATGTAGAAATGTGGGGAATAAAAGGAGTAATGCTGATGTTTGCTTAATACTTTGTACTTTATAAAAGAGTAAAGTAACCCAACTTTGAGTTTATTAAAACACGAAAAATGTATTAAATTACTGTGGATAGAATTCTGAATTTTTTTTTTTTTTAAACTGACTAATCACAGTCTGACACAGACATTGTCAGTTGCTGTTGCTGCTGAAATGGGATTCGGTCTCAGTAGTTGCAGGTAGCGGCTCAGAACCACTATACAAATACAAAGCCATCGATTAGTGATGAGCCTAATGAGACGTTACTAGTGGGTGATTAACTAACAGGGCTACATGGGAGAGATGTGTGGCTTCAGATAACTAAGATTATTCGAAAAGAGAATGTGGATAAGTGGAATTATACTGTATTTCCATACTCCATCTTATTATATATACTTTACATTTGTCACCTTTTAATTCTTTAGTTGAGATGAGGATACCACAATAGGAAGATTTCCTTCTTACTTATCAATCTTTTTAATACCCTCCATATCTGACAGTCTGTATTATAGGGTAATATAGTAATAATAATTCTTCCTGCTGGCTGGAGGCAGAACAAAGATTGACAGCTAGCCTGGGTCCAGGACCACTCTTCTGTGGGGAACCCAGAATGATTGCTTCCAAAGCTGAAAAATATTTACTGAATATAGTAGTATAAGTCACCTAACTTGGACATATGACCCTCATAACACAGCCTTAGGAAGCTTATAATCTGGGACAGTGGAGAAAAAAAACTTCAGTTCTCAGACAAATGCATCCACGCTGGTTGGGCCAGAATGTCAGACACGAAGAGTATTAGAAAATTCACAGGTAAAAAGAGTTTTCCTTTCTCACCACATCCTACCCCGACCCGGTGTCTGACAGTCCGTATTGTGGGATGTGGAAAGCATACTCAACTTTGGGGGAGAGGGGGTGATTCAAATTGTTTACACAGGAACTTGTCTTGGGTTAGTGCTGGGGCAGCACATGTTGCAGTACCCTTCTCCTGAATGCTGCATTTAAGGAAGAAGAGAAATCAACGCTGTAATGCTTCATGAACAAGTGCACGGATGTCCACATAGCTGCCTTACAGATTTCACATTAAGCACCAGACCTTTTTGCCCAACAAATTGCTGAACTCCTTGGAATAAGCTGTGAGGTTATCCGGTGGATTTGCTCCAGGTGCTCTATAAGCTTCAGTAATATATGCTTTGCTCCATCTTTCAGTAGAGGATTTAGAGGCCTGCCTTTTAGCTGAAGAGTAATATAAATGCTGTGGACCTCCAATAAGTTTTCATGCTCTTCATTGAAAGTACTCTGCTTATATTCCTTTCATGCCATTCAGTCTTCTGTTGGAATAGCAAAGAATCAGTCCATCACTTGAGGGAGTACGTGACTGACCTGAGATCAGTGATTCTCAGATCCTGCTTGGTTACAATTTCTTTTTGATATGGTAAGAGTAATCCTAGACATCTCCATGGTATCCAGGATCATGCCTAAATGCAGAAGTCCTTGAGATGGCTGGAAGCTCAGTGGTTTGAGCATTGGCCTGCTAAACCCAGGGTTGTGAGTTCAATCCTTGAGGGGACCATTTAGGGATCTGGGGCAAAAAATTGGTCCTGCTAGTGAAGGCAGGGGACTGGACTTGATGATCTTTCAAGGTCCCTTCCAGTTCTATGAGATATGGAGATATACCTATTAAAAAAAAAAAGAAAAGAAAAGCCTCTTCTCTGTGTTTACAGAAAAACCATGATCCTGTAAGTCTCCCCTGGATCCTGAAGGACAATCTGATAGGGATACATGTGTATCCTCTTTCTGACAATGGCTGCTAAGCCCACCCGAATCTTGTTGGATAACCTCTGGGGTAGTCACTAGTCCACAGAGTGTCCTGTCCTGAAAATGCTTCCCATTGTAACAGAGCACAGACATTTTCAGTGAATCTCCCTGATTGGCACATGAAGATAAGCCTCTTCAAAGTCTGCTGACGTCATGAAATCTTGGGTGACAGAGCTGCAATGACAGACTTCAGGATTTTTATCCAAAACTTGAGAGAGCTGGTGGATTTGTTAAGAGACTTAAGATCTAAGATGGCTCTTGTGTTCCTATTCTTCTTTGGGACAGAAAAGAATAAAGTACACACCACAGAATCTGTCTTGTTGATCCTGATTCTATAGCTCAAATGTTGAGATGTTTGTTTGCTTTGTTTGGTACTTATCTGTTCTTTTCTGGGACAGACTATGAACTTGTCTTTGAGGAATTTGGTAAGTTCAATAGCATAACCCTGTAGAACTGTCCCTAGTATCCACCTGCCTGATGTAGGTGTCTCCTGTAAGTGGACAAACTTCTGAAATCTCCTCCTCTCCCCCCTACTCCATCCCAAGATAAGAGGTAGTGTTGGATGCTGGGCACAGAGTCAGGTAGATGATTTATAGTTTTATGCAGGTCTTCCAGAAGACCACTGTTTGAAGTTTCTTGATCTATTGACTTCCAAATATGAAGTCTCTATGGATTTCTTGTGGGCTGGTAAGCATAAACCGAAAACATGTGCCAAAGAAAAGTTCTATAGATCTCAGGTCAATGACATGGAAAAGACTTTCTTCTCACCTGCTTCTGCTACTGTTTCCCCCCCCCTCCCCCATGTCCTCACCAAACATCTTGCCCCCTAAATACTTGGCTGAGATCATAAGGTGTTTTACCTGTGTATTTGGTTTCCAGAGAGGGAGCCAGAGGAGGCTTTGGACTACCAGATTAGATGCCTCAGAGCCAGCTGTGAATCTAAGGGAATTCAGAGAAGCATTTGCTACAAGAGAAGCTGCTAATCAGATCTTATTCGTATTTGCTTTCAGTTCAAACTTGCCTTCAGTTTTTTTTATCTGATCCTGGCCTTACTGGGTCATACAGTCTATCCATGCTAGACTCACCCGGGGCTCTCCCTCTGAGGCAATTAGTGTCTTTTAGTAATGCAGTGGCTGCTGCATCCACATTTGGTAAAATGACCAAGTCTTTCTTGTCCATGGGTAAAGAATAGAATAGAATCTCTATCATTTTTCTGTGGAGGATGCTTAGCTTTGCTTGGGAGCCCATTAAACTTTGATTACTACTTCAAATAATGGGGATAATGGAACACACAATTCTTTCTTTGCTTTAGTTGGAAAATAGTTCTGAAATGCTTTTCTGTTTTTTTTCTGGGATTGGTGGCTCCTGGAGTGTTTCATGGAGTGAGAGTAGGATAAAACAGGTTTGCTCCAGCCGGCAATCTGGCTCAAAACCCCTCTGCCAATAAAGAGGTTTAAAAAAAAAAGATTTAAATCAGTTTTCCATGAGTTCAGATGATTTTGGTAGTCCTGTCCTGAAGGACTCTGCTACAAAGAGGAGATCCTTGGTCTGCCTTCTGCCCAGGAGTAGAAGCAAAGATGTCTGGGGTTCTCGACGGAGAGGCACTCCAGGACCTAGGGTGGCTGTTAATCTTTGTTCTGCCTTCAGCCAGCAGGGAGATGTGGAATACCCCACAGGACAGACTGTCTGACACCAATCATGATTGCTCAGGATATGCATAATTTTTAAAAAAATAAATTATAGCAACTGAGTTTTGTTAGTTCTTTTTTAAAAGTAAAGAAGAAATGTTCTCTCAATAACTACAATATGGTGTTATGCAGATTACTGTACTCTGATTTATAGCTATAGCAGTGTTACACATCTCAATAGTTTCCTAAAACATACAGTGTTTTGAAGTATAAACTCACTCTTGTTTGTTACACACCATATGCTTTATTCTCATCAGCAGAACATTAATAATCATCAGTTGGCAAAAGGCCACCTCAGACTAAAAAATATAATATTAAGTGGCAGTTCTCTACTCCTGTCACAGTGACTGGAGATTTTTCAGTAAGATGACTAACACTAGATTCTCACTAAAATAATTTAATGGGCTCACTAGCTACATATAAATTTTACGTGGGCGATGCACTAACTAGCTTTGTAATTTTGCAGGTTTAGGTCAAACTTTAGGCCACAACCTCTACACAACTTATCCTTGTGGTTATTTGTCAATATCACAAAATCACTACACTGTTTAGAATAATCATTGTTCTATGCTCTAGAAATGCATGTTAAGACAAACATTCAGGGATGGAACAGCTAGAACTTGTAATGTGCCAGGGAGACACTGATGGCAAATGTTTTAATAACCCATAAAGAACAGAGGTCAAACAAAGCTGAGGGGAAAATGTTATTTCAGGTTTAGTAAGCAATTACTGATTATGGTCAGTAGTTGCAAGGTTTTCTGAAAAGTGAAAATGCACTCCTACAATTCTAAGCTGCATTAATACACACAATATTTTTTAACAAGAGTTGAGTCTTTTCTGAGCATATATGCCAGTTGTGCTGAATTATAGTATATGGTGGTTTTGTGGTTTGTGGCAAATAGTGACCAGCAACCTTTCACTTTGTCCACAGCAGGATTTAAACCTAGTTTTCTAAAGCCTACTGCATGAACCCACTGAATTGTACCAGCTTGCTTCCTATAGTAATTGTTTAGGAAGAGAAATTAATCCTAGTTCCTTATTTTTATAAGTGATTAAATACAGTTGTACACACTGATTCATAATGCAGACAGAAATAATATGAAAATATAATAGGACATAGGGTTATAGAAATATAGGTTATATAAACAGTAAAAGTAAGCTTACATGGTTTATTGTGTAACAAAACATTTAACAAGATACTTGATTCATATCTAGCAGTGAAGGGCAGAGAATTATGGTGGACCTGTCATGAGTTAAAGTTGGTTCAGAGATTTCAGTTTAACAATTATTAAGGATGGTGTAGGCAAGTCAGTGGGTCTAGAGTTAGGGTCCTAAAGTAACTAGGCCTAGAAAAGACAACCTCCCCCCAGTCACTGTTCTTTGCAATATGGAACTATGTCTCAAATGATATTTTGTTTAAAATTATATAAAATAGTTAAACACAAAATGATACTATTCCATCATTTTGGAACTATGATTACAAAAAATGCAAGGTGGGGATGGATTGTATTCCACATATATGGAATGGGTACAGATTCATTTGCCAAACTGTTGACACAGCCTTAATGATGATGATCATTTGAGGTGTACATTTTCAAGTGAAACTATTTGTCTCCATCCCAAAAATATGGAGAGACTTTTCTTGAAACAATCTAAAAGGTCCAAGTTGTTCTGATATTCATCCCCATTTAGTTCAGTGATGTTGCTAAGGATGGGAGTAGACTTTTGCTTTTATATCTTTTTTAAAAATGTTTGAAGTAACTGGTTTTAGATCCTATAGGTATACCTTGAAGCAAATGCGTCCTCTTATCAGTCCATAAGGAACAGGTCCATAACACCTGGAATCTGTAGAATTCCTGAGATTATCTCCTTCTAACCAAACATGCCCTTTAGGCACCTGTAGTTAGGGAAGATCAAAATACAAGTTAGACAATGTAGAATAAGAATGTTTCTTTAAAGGAAATTCAATCCCCCCAGACATAACCTGTAAAGTGAACCCTTTGGTGTTTTATTTGTCATGCCATGAATTAATACTTCTAAGGTCTCTAAAACAGTGCTAGATTAGAAAAAAAAATTTTTTCCCAAGTATCTGTTCTATCACATGCTCCAGAAACACTAGTTTGCAACAAAAAATCCAAAATGAAGATGTAAGAGGTTAGACCAGTATGACAGGGTCATTAATTTAATAGACTTCAAAAGAGGTCATTAGGATGTTGACTGAAAATCTGCCCTCCTGTCGCAGTAACAGCATGAACAGGGCAGCCACACACTCATCAACATCCTGGGGCCAGCACCAAGGCTAGACCTGTTAGTAGGCTCATGATGATCTAAATGGTAATTGATTGTGACATCAATTACGAATAATCTCATCATTTTATCGGAGTGGGCTTGTCAAAGTTCTAATTAAGATCACAGTTCATTCTATGTGCAGGCAGGATCCACAGCACATTATATTGCAATAATGACCATCACAAAACAGCAAGTCTCTTTTTACAATTTGAAAATTAATGATGGTGACCTTATACTATATGACAAAGACCTTTTATTGCCTATATGTACTATGCATTAACTATATTACATGCCGTAAATTCAGGACCTGACTAACTCAATGAAAACATGAGAAATAGAAACACAGTTGCATTCAGGGGTGCTGAAACAATTTGTATAGTGGGGGTGCTGAGAGCCACTGAACCTAACTGTAAACCCTGGATATGATGGAAACCACTGCAAGCCAGGGTGTGCTGCAGCACCCCCAGCACTCCTAGTTCCAGCACCTACGGTTGCATTAGTAACCAAAATAACACAGTTCAGAGCTGCGTACATTTAACCAGCATGAAAGAATTGATTCAAAATATATAGCATGCAATGACTACGATTCATGCTGGTAAGACAAAATAGTATCACTGAACATTTAACAACTTCAGATAAGGATAGGCTCTTATAAGCAAAATAATTCTTAAATATAATATTTGATAGTTTATATGCCTAAGAATATAGGGTAGACTTAAATACTAGTAATACTTCCTACCAGCCACTACAGAAAATTCCTGCTACCCAACCAGTCTTGACTTTGAGAGGGGATCCACTTTAACAGCTAAAAAATGAATATATGAATACACTTGATTAAAAAGAAAAAAGACCATAGTGAGATCCAATGAAATATGCCAATGGGCAGAACATATCACCAAAACAGCAAAGAAAAGCATTAAAGGATTTTACTGAAGGGGAGACAGAACAGAAGTAACTAACTAATGAAGGTGGAAGTCAGTAAAAGACAATCAAATGTCTAAAGTCCAACTGATCGGTGTAGGACATCCATCTCAGCATAAATGCATGGAGTTTCACTCCATCGCCTGTAGATCTAGGTTTTAGAATGTGCTGACACTTCCACTTTACTCAAATTTCCTTCATGTCTGATGCTACAGTTATGCTTTAAATGCCCCACTGCAAATACTTATGCTATTTTCTGTTATTGACAGTTTACCCATGCACAGCATTCACCACAACCACTTCTCCCTTCCACCCATGATCTACTGTCAGGTTCAGTCCTGCAGTATTACATCCATAGGGGCAAAATGACCTTGCTGGTGTAATCCACTACCCAACATCTCCCAGAGCTACAAATGACACATCAAACTACTGTATGCAGTGTTGTAGCTATGTCAGTCCCACAATATTAGAGAGACAAGGTGGGTGAGGTAATATCTGTTACTGGACCAACTTCTGGTGGTGAGAGACACAAAGTGATCACTCTATATCTGACCTATCAATCCTCATCCTCAAAGGAAACCTGCACAACATTTCCAAAAGACTTTACTAGACACTAAAAATCATGGACTGAATAGACACACTGGATTTATGGCTTATTACAACAACCTAAAACCACTAGCAACCCCACCCCCAGCTGCTTTCCCGCCTCCCTATGATTGGAGCGGTGTTAACACACCACTTCACCTTGAATGGTCCCTTGAAGTGTTTGTTAACTACTTATGCTAAACAATCTGTTGGGTTGTGACATTCTGGTTAAGTTTCCCAGACCTGAAGATGAGCTCTCATAGAATCATAGAAGATTAGGGTTGGAAGAGACCTCAGGAGGTCATCTAGTCCAACTCCCTGCTCAAAACAGGACCAACACCAACTAAATCATCCCAGCCAGGGCGTTGTCAAGCTGGGCCTTAAAAACCTCTAAGGATGGAGATTCCACCACCTCCCTAGGTAACCCATTCCAGTGCTTCACCCCCCTCCTAGTAAAATAGTGTTTCCTAATATCCAACCTAGACCTCCTGCACTGCAACTTGAGACCATTGCGCCTTGTTCTGTCATCTGCCACCACTAAGAACAGCCGAGCTCCATCCTCTTTGGAACCCCCCTTTAGGAAGTTGAAGGCTGCTATCAAATTCCCCCTCACTCTTCTCTTCTGCAGACTAAACAAGCCCAGTTCCCCAGCCTCTCCTCATAAGTCATGTGCCCCAGCCCCCTGATCATTTTTGTTCCCCTCCGCTGGACTCTCTCCACAGTTTGTCCACATCCTTTCTGTAGTGGGGGGCCCAAAATTGGATGCAATACTCCAGATGCGGCTTAACCAGTGCCGAATAGAGGGGAATAATCACTTCCCTCAATCTACTGGCAATGCTCCTACTAATTCAGCCCAATATGCCGTTAGCCTTCTTGGCAACAAGGACACACGGTTGACTCATATCCAGCTTCTCATCCACTGTAATCCCCAGGTTCTTTTCTGCAGAATGGCTGCTTAGCCAGTCAGTTCCCAGCCTGTAGCAGTGCATGGGATTCTTTCGTCCTAAGTGCAGGACTCTGCACTTGTTCTTGCTGAACCTCATCAGATTTCTTTTGACCCAATCCTCCAATTTGTCTCGGTCACTTTGGACCCTATCCCTACCTCTCCTTAGTCTCATCTGTGAACTTGCTGAGGGTGCAATCCATCCCATCATCCAAATCATTAATAAAGATGTTGAACAAAACCGGCCCCAGGACTGACCCCTGGGGTACTCCACTTGATACTGGCTGCTAGACATTGAGCCATTGATCACTACCTGGTGAGCCCGACAATCTAGCCAGCTTTCTATCCACTTTATAGTCCATTCATCCAGCCGATACTTTTTTAACTTGCTGGCAGAAATACTGTGGGAGACCGTATTGAAAGCTTTGCTAAAGTCAAGATGTATCACGTCCACTGCTTTCCCCATACCCATATAGCCAGTTATCTCATCACAGAAGGCAATCAGGTTGGTCAGGCATGATTTGCCCTTAGTGAATGCATGTTGACTGTTCCTGATCACCTTCCTCTCCTCCAAGTGCTTCAAAATGGTTTCCTTGAGGATCTACTCCATGATTTTTTCAGAGACTGAGGTGAGGCTGACTGGACTGTAGATCCCCAAGTTGTTCTTCCTTTTTTTAAAAGATGGGCACTATATTTGCCTTTTTCCAATCATCTGGGACCTCCCCCGATTGCCATGAGTTTTCAAATATAATGGCCAATGGCTCTGCAATCACATCAGCTAATTCCGTCAGCACCCTCGGATGCATTAGAGCTGGACCCATGGACTTGTGCATGTCCAGCTTTTCTAAATAGTCTTTAACCTGTTCTTTCACCACTGAGGGCTGCTCACCTCCTCCCCATACTGAGTTTCCCAGGACAGCAGTGTGGGAGCTGACCTTGTCCGTGAAGACCAATGCAAAAAAAGCACTGAGTTCTTCTGCTTTTTCCACATCATCTATCACTAGATTGCCTACCCCATTCATTAAGGATCCCACACTTTCCCTGACCTTTTTCTTGTTGCTAACATATCTCTAGAAACCCTTCTTGTTACCCTTCACATCCCTTGCTAGCTACAACTCCAGTTGTGTTTTGGCCTTCCTGATTACACCCCTGCATGCTCAAACAATATTTTTATACTCCTCCCTAGTCATTTGTTTCCACTTCTTGTAAGCTTCCTTTTTGTGTTTAAGCTCACCGAAAATTTCACTGTTAAGCCAAGCTGGTTGCCTGCCATATTTGCTATTCTTTCTGCACATTGGGATGGTTTGTTCCTGCACCCTCAATAAGGCTTCTTTAAAATACAGCCAGCTTCCCTGGACTCCTTCCCCCCTCATATTAGCCACCCAGGGGATCCTGCCCATCAGTTCCCTAAGGGAGTCAAAATCTGATTTTCTGAAGTTCAGGGTCCGTATTTTGCTACTCTCCTTTCTTCCTTTTGTGAGGATCCTGAACTCAACCATCTCATGGTCACTGCTGCCCCAGGTTGCCTCCCACTTCTACTTCCTCTACCAATTCCCTGTTTGTAAGCAGCAGGTCAAGAGGAGAACGGCCCCTGGTTGGTTCCTCCAGTAGTTGCACCAGGAAGTTGTCCCCAACACTCTTCAAAAACTTTCTGGGTAGTCTGCACTGCTGTATTGCTCTCCCAGCAGATGTCAGGGTGATTGATTGAAGTCCCCCATTAGAACCAGGGCCTGTGTTCTGGAAACTTCAGTTAATTGTTCAAAGAAAGCCTCATCTACCTCATCCTCCTGGTCCGGTTGTCTATAGCACATGCCCATCACGACATCACCCTTGTTGCTCTCGCTTCTAAACTTAACCCAAAGACTCTCAACAGGCTTTTCTCCAGTTTCATACTGGAGCTCTGAGCAATCATACCGCTCTCTTACATACAGTGCACTCTGTGTATGCTCGAAAGCTTGTCTCTGTCCTGAACAGAAGCTGATCCAATAAAAGATATCACCTCACCCACCTTGTCTCTCTTGCATAAAACTACTGTCATTTGAAAGGAGTATCAGAAATATCGAGTGCATAAAGGTAACAGGCTCGATTGGCTATAGCCCAATAAAAAAAACAGGTCCTGAAGACCTGAAAAAGAGTTCTGTATAAGCTTGAAAGCTTGT